ACAGCATGTTTTGACTGTAAATTGAATAAAAATTATTTGAAATCGATCAAAAGGAACAAAAGAAAGAAAATTTATTGAAACAAATATTTAAAAACTATAAGAAAAATCTCTCAGATTGAGGTTTGATCCTCCCCTATCGGGATTGGAGTGCGCGACAGATTCAGTAGCCAGATTTTTCTCAATAATAAAAAAAACAAGAAATATATAGCTTGACGTGATACGCGAAATGAGTGTTGTTTTTTTTGGCTCTGACTGGGATTTGAACCTGGTTATCCAGCGTTAGAGAGAATTGTATACACTGGGTTAGGAATGTAGTTATGAAAGTATATTCTTATTCTAAATCCCCTCTTTTCCTATAAAAAATATTGGGGTTTCTCCCAGAGAATCGAATGGAGGTTAACTTTTAATTTTCTACCTTGCGTAAGAACGAGTCTCAATGGGGAAAACACAATAAAAAGCAAATCTGACGCCCATTTTGCCAAATTGTCATTTTTTGGGCCAAATCTACAAAACTGAAAACTCGTGTTTGCTCGTTAAAAACAAACTGATTTCGCACTCCGCGCTTGTCTCAAGTTGTGGCTGAAAGATGCCAACAACCTAGTCAGGTCGCGAGGGTGGGTAGGGGTTCGCGGCTTTTTGCTGTTTGCACTTTCAAATCTAGCCATAAGAACGTATTAAGTAGGCTTTCACTCAATCGGGAAAAAGTCACGAAAGTTGTGGAATTTGATTATTAATGAAAATCAGAAGTTGAAGCGAAAATTTGATATAAAACAACAAAAAAAACACTTTGCATTAAAAACAGGATTATGGAAATTTTGTTAAGATTTCTCTGAATGCTTATGGGCTTGCAATTATTATTCTATAAATTCGTATCCTTGAATTATAAAAAAAAAAAAAAAGAAAATTTTTTGTTGTGACTAATAAGGGCGTGCGGTCAGGTTAGGACTAAAGATATCACACCGTGCGTTTTAATAACTTCATTGAAGACATCTGGTGGTCCTCTCGCTATCTCGGATTGAGAGAGGAAATCGAATTCGCGTAATAATGTGAAGAGGTTTGGACTGTACAATAAAAACAGATTCGTAGGCTTTATAACCAATCTCCGCGTAAAAACCAACCTCCGCTGTGCTTCAACTTAAAAGCAGCTGGAACTTCCTCAAGCCTATTAGATTTTTTTGGATTCGGAGCTCCTTTCAAAGCTCTCTTTCTGAACTTGTTGTTACACCGAACGTTCGCGTTATGTTTACATTTGGAAAACAATTCTTTTTTGAAAAAAAAATTCGAAAACAGCCCTAGAGGAACTTCGCTTGTAGAAACTAGTCATTCCGATTGTTGAATATCTATAGAACGCGTCCAGACAATTCGGCCAAAGACAATTCAGCCGATTTGAAATTCAGCCAAAAGTATGCATACAATTCAGCCAGAGACAATTCAGCCAATAATAGTGACCGCCGCAGTTGCACCAACGTGTTGCGAGCTTGCCAACAGAGGGTAGGACTCTATACGAAATTTAGAGCCGGTTATCCACCGGCGACCTTACACCGAGAAATAGCTCCAATTCCGATTTTTTTTTCTTTCGAACGTAGCACTTTGTAAAACTGGCTGAATTGTCTCAGGCTGAATTGTCTGTATATTTTTGGCTGAATTGTCTGAATTTCAAATTGGCTGATTTGTCTTTGGCCGAATTGTCTGTGCACCCTACAGAATAATTGTGCTGAGCGCTATTTTTTTTCGAAAACTGTTTTTTTTTCTTGCATTTTTTGGCGAAAATTTTTAATACTTGCAAAACCATCAGCCCAAAACTGTATGATGCCTGCAAACGTTTCTCCCTCATTACAGAAACCGTCTGACAATTTCCAGTTTTGCCAATAAAGGATAGTTGTATCGAGAAAAAACTCTTTGCGTTATACGCGTAACGTAGACTGTTCTTTAATTGGGTTAAAAAATCACTCAACTTTTAATTAAGACAAACTAAACAAGAAAAAAATTGCTGTTTTGTTTTTTAAAAAATTTTATTTTTAGGTTCAATATTGCGTGTGTAGGAAAAAAAATTAAGAAAATTAAAAACATGTTTTATACTCAAGAATAAAGATTTACTTTTTTTTTTTTTTTTTTAAATTAACATTCAATTCTTCATCAAATCAAAATAAATTGGTTTCGAATGGTGCTTGTTTTTCGTTGAATAAAGATTTACTGTTTTGATAAAACTACCTTGACGAAACTTGCATTAAATAAAAGATGCGTTAAAGGTCTGTAGGGACAGTGTTTTCGTCGAAATGAAAAGTCTTGTTTCAACTATGTGTGAGGAAAAAATTTGTAGGCTTGAGTTGATTCCAAAATTACTGAAATGGTTTCCAAAAATTTTATTTAATTAAACTTCTAAAAAAGCACAAGTTATAAGCAACTTATAAAAGCACAATGTTATAATTGAATCCAAGAAGAGCGATGAAAAAACGATATGCTTAAAAAATTCTAAAATTGATTATAGTTTGTTGGGAAAAGTTTGATAATCTAGTTTCAATTGATTTTATAAGATATTTACTCAATCTTCTTTTGATTATTTAAAACTTATTTACGGCAAAAAAGAGCTTAAGGAACCTTCGAAGACTATTGTTTTGGCAGCTAAACTGATTTTTGCCTTCTAAAAGCTGGGTACTTTAAAAATTATTGTTCCGACTTTCGATACGAAAGTAACGGAATATTTGTTCTCGGGGTGGGTTTTTTTTTCTTCAGACAAATTTCGACTTCTTATCTAGCCATTTTTGACGGAATTTTTTTATATCATTTGAAAGCTATTGTTGTCCTGAGCTCAAATTTGAAAAGAGATTTCACCTGTAATCATTTTTCGTAAAGTTATGGGGGTTTAAAGATTGCCATTTTGGCCAATTTGGGACAATTAACTCGCGATATATTTAGCGCTATTAACGCGTAAGCGGATAGTGAATCCGTCTTCGAAATCGTTCCAAATTGGTTGAAAGCTTGTTTGACATAATTGATTTGTTAGAAGAAGCGGAATCTATCCTTTTGTACTTTATATGGCGTGTGGGGGGATGATTTTCATAAAAAACTTCAAATTTTTACTGCTCCAGAAACCTTAAACGGTTGTCGGAACATTCAGGGCTTCGCCCTGTTACGAGTAGTCTTGTTGTTCCGACTTTCGATACGAAAATAACGGAATATTTGTTCTCGGGGTGGGTTTTTTTTTCTTCAGACAAATTTCGACTTTTTAACTAGCCATTTTGACGGAATTTTTTTTATCAGTAAAAAGGTCTTGTTGTCTTGAGCTCAAATTTTAAAAATTATTTCAACTGTGATCATTTTTCGCAAAGTTATGGGGGTTTAAAGATTGCCATTTTGGCCAATTTGAGACAATTAACGCGCAATATATTTCGCGCTATCAATGCATTAGCGGAGGGTTAATCCGTCTTAAAATCATTCCAAATTGGTTGAAAGAAGCTTATTTGCCATAATTGATTTGTTACAAGGAGCTAAATTTATCTTTTTGTACTTTCTATGGCGTGTGGGGTGATGATTTTCATAAAAATATTCAAATTTAAAAAGAAACAAGACTGCTCGTATCAGGGCGAAGCCCTGAAAGTTCCGACTGCCTTTTAAGGTCTATGGAGCATTAATAAGATAAAAATATTCAAAGTAATAAAAAAATTTAAATTTTTTTTTAAAAAAATTTGAGATTTTATGTAAAAACATCCCCCCACACGTCATATTAAGTACAAAGTGATAGATTTTGCGTAATAGACTTTGCTACTAACGCGTAAGCGGAGAGTTAATCCGTCTTTAAATCGTTCCAAATTAGTTGAGAGAAGCTTATTTGCCATAATTGATTTGTTACAAGGAGCAAAATCTATCCTTTTGTACTTTATATAGCGTGTGGGGGGATAGTTTTCATTAAAAAAATTTCAAATTTTAGAAAAAAAACTTTCGTGTTATTTTTATTACATTTAATTTTTTGATGATATTATTGCTCCATGAAACCTAAAAAAAGGCAGTCGGAACATTCAGGGCTTCGTCCTGATACGAGCAGTCTTGTTTCTTTTCAGAATTGAACTCGAAAGCTTTACTCGCTCGAAATTAGAATAGGGAAAATTTTCAAAATTGAGAAAAGTTTCAAAACTGTCGTTCGAATCACAACCGAAAAGAATTGTTTATAATACTTTTTTGACCATTCCGAAGCTTATTAATAGAGAAAAAACTAAAGCACACTCAAAATCAAAAGGTCCTCTCTAATTCCAACGGTCAGAAACTTGAAAATTCATTCATGCTGTGCCCTGTGAGAAGCTCATTTTTTTTTATTGAAATGCGTTTTATTTCAGTTATCTATAAACGGCAATTTGCCAATTTTTAGAAATTTGAAAACTTAGAAGTATTGCTTTTGATATTGACAAACACGCTAGTTTTTTGCTCTTGTTTTTATTAAAATAAAAAATGCTTGATCACTTGCTCCAACAAATTACCATCGATACTCATTTTATTTGCAAAGCCTTAAATCAATTTCCGTTTTTTGTATACTTCCATTTCTCACATCCATTGTGGGTCTGGAAAATAATAGCTCGTGTAATTTAGTACAAATTTTCGAAGGCCATGTGAGGCAAAAACAGGTATGCTGATTATATCCCCGCTGCAAATATTCAAATATTGAACTTTAGTAACAAATATCTTTGCTGCTTGCAATACTTAAATGGGCAACTACACTAAACAAGGGCTTACCAATTATTCAAATTAGATTTCAACAATCGCCGATTAAAGTTGCGCTACAGTGAGCATGGCATTTTCGGCTGAACAAAAATATATATTTTTTTTCTATTTCTAAGTTTGGAACTATTATTACTATGCTATATTTCGTCCAATTTTCAGGCCTCTTTCCATTGGCTCAAAAGAAAACTTGTGTCGTTTTCAGCTTTTGGGAAATATTAGATAAATTTGGTTGCTATATTGAATAAATTGAAGTTGTTTGAAAAATGATTAGTTTTTTTCTTGCCTAGGTGTGGATTAGTGATAGATGAAAACCAAACAGCTTCCCCAGTTGCGACTACTATCAAAGAATTATATATTGATTCGGTTAATTCTTCGCGCAACTTCAAACTGAAATTCGATTCAAATAAAGATTATCTCTATTCGTCGAATAAAGATTCCTTCTCAAGCTGATAGCAAAGACACTAATCTCCAATTTTACTGCGGTTTGACAAAAAAATGGCAATTTCAATCAAAATTCGATTTGGAAGTAAATTAATTGAGCGTAGGTAAAGCATAGAGGTAAAATAGAAATAAAATTGACACTCAGAAAACCTCCGCAAATTATCAAACGAACTATCAAACCATTATTTTCCCTTCATTTACAGAAAAAATTGTATTTTAAAAAAGCACCCACAAAGTTTTTGTTAGACTTGCACAAATTGTTAAGTGTTTTGATGTTCGTATCATTTTGCATTCAATGTGATACTTCTCTTTAGCTCACAAAATTCGAAAGCATACTAAGTTTTTTTTAAACTTTTCATTTTAAAATTCCATTTCATTTTTACTCTTTGAATAAATTATACTGCTTTTGAAATCTTTTTACTTTAACTTTTTACCCAATCCGTATATTCAAATCCCTTCAAAAACATGACAACCAATTCATCATTACCATCTGAAGTATTACAGACAAGCGACACTATATGGAAAATTGATTCCATAATTTTGACCTTACTTTTGGTCATGATCCTGTCCATAGTACCCATACTTACCATCTCCGGCAACTGTCTGGTCGTGTGGGCTATTCTCACCCAGAAGTGTCTGCAGCAGGTGCAGAATAGACTTCTCATCAGTCTGGCTGTCGCTGATGTTCTCGTGGCCTTGACAGTCATGCCATTTGCCATTTTCATGGAAGTCGCAGGTAAGATTAATATAACCGGATTTCTTTTAATTTTTAAAATCTTCTTTTTCTATCATATTATGTCAATCATTATCTAAGAAACTTAATTTTGTCTTTGTTTTCCGCTTTCTCTTTCAAATTTTAGATGATTTTTGTCTTATGGTGATATTATTTTATAAGCCAGATCTTCTGTAAACACTTACTCAAATCTGCTGATTTAAATTGACAATATTTACCTCTTCAAGAGTGCTCTAAACAACAAAAAGTGCTCCTTGTCGTGTTTGCTGTGATCAATCCCAAGAATGCGAAGGATTTTCAAAAACTTTTTGTCGCTAATGAGGGCATTCATGTCAATAGTTTTTCACCCTCATTTTGTTATCCGACCTTTTAATTTGTTTACCGGTCTTCTTTTGAAAGAAAGTTTTTGAGATGAAAAAAAAAATCTATTTAAAAGTGTTGGTTTTTTTTCGACCAACCATACAATCCTTCCCTTAACCAATCTAGGGTAAAAAACACCATCAAAAACATTAAGGGCAGGGGCGGATTTAAGGGGGGGGGGGGGGCGGACGCCTCCCTTCTGAGGGATTCGACCCCCTGCCGACCCAAAGGGTCTACCTTTGGTACTTTTTAAGAAATCTACTTTTGGCCGACCGACCCTAAAAATGTTCTAAAGACGCATTTGGCGCCAATATATACTAACTTTGAGCGGGAGCGCGCGCCGAAAAAAACGGAATTTTTTTGGCAAAAATTTCCAAAAAATACCCAAAAATAGTTTTTTTTGACTTGTTTTTTCAAAAAATTGCTTGCGGCGCAGAAAATGTAGTCTAAACAGCGTCTTTTTAGTGGCTTAGGAGACCTCAGAAAATCAATTTGGTCGACCTAAAAAAAAATAAAAAAGGTCGTCAAAATTTTCGAATTTTTTTTGAAAATCCGCCCCCCTCGAGAAAATCCTAGATACGCCCCTGATTGAGGGCAAAACAAATCGATCTGTTCAAAAAAAACGGAAACTAAGTTATCAGGTTTACATAGCTATTCCATGTATTTTTTTTAGACGCAATAGATTTTGCGCGCTGGTTTGAAACGAAGATTTTATGCATGAACCTTTTTCAAAAACAAAACGTGGCTTGGGGGAAGTTCTCTGGCAGAAGTCGTTTAGGGAGAAGATTTTTAGTTAGATTTTTTTTCTAAACAATTTTTTTCTGTTGAGAGTGTAGTTGTTTTCCCAACTTCCTCTTTGGGAAGTAAAAAATCCTAATTCTGTTATCGACATGACAATAGATGATGAAACAAATTTTTAGTAAGTTTGTTTCGTGTGGTTTTTATATATTAATTGAATTTTTTTTTTGAAATTTGAAATTCCGTACTAGACTTTTCACTTTCGTTCTTGTTTCGTAATGAAATTTTCCTGAATAAAAACCGCGTTTGAACTTAAAATTGCTCAGCAGTTTTTATATACAGCAAACATGTGAAACTAATTACTTTTTCATCGAAATTTTTATAAAGTCAATATCATTAGACAAAATATTCAGACTTTTTTTTAGCAAAACTAAAAAACGATTCTATTGATTGTTGTTTGTTTTCTAGTCGTTTCAATTAAAATTTGGGTAAAAAAAGTTAAAAAGGAAACATTATTTTTCTCCATAAACTGCAATACTTCACCTATTTTAGTTCAAAATATGGTTTTGTCACTCATCGGTTTGACAATTATGATAGTCGTATAGTTTCACATTTGTGGAGCAAGTTTTTTTGACTGATAACTCTACGATTAGCAATTTTTCTATTTATGAAATGTTATAATTCTCTTTTTTCGAGGAGTAAAAGAGTGCGACTAAATTTTTCTTGTTAAATATGGCTAGTTTACATCAAATATTTGTAGTTTACTCTAAACAGCGAAAAATCGTCTTTTTCGAAAGTTCAATTGATTTAGAATCGCGGCCGGTTTTTTGACAGAATTCAAATTGATCTTAAACTTATCTTAGAGGTTAAATGCATGCAATAAGCTAGTATTATATAGTAGCAATGTTTCATACACGTTGCTGGAGTTTGTAGTCCCTTAAATTACTTCCAAATCATTAAATGTTTTGCATCACATGTGAATTTCTCAAAATTTTATTTAAAATTTTTTCGTTGTTGAAAGAAAGCTAGTCATGAAACTTTTAGATGATGAAATTGTAGAGTTAATAATTTTTCATTGACTCCATTTCAGAAATTGTTTGACTCGCGCTTTCCTCAGTGGAAGTCAATCAGGGTATTTAAAAAAAAATCATGAAAAACAAGGATAGCCGGTTACTGAGCAAGTAGCGTAGACTTTTCCGACCAGTCTTACAAAATTACAACAATTTTTTTTAAACTGGTGTCGTTTTTCGGCATGGTGTAATAAAGGAATATGAGCGAAAAAATTGAACTTAAGCATTTTTATCAGTCATTGTAAAATAAGACAATAACGAAACAGTTTTTGAAAACAAATAACGAAAAAAAAAATAAAAAGTCGAAAAATGTTTCTTACAATTTTAACGTTTTTGGTTTTTAAGATGAAGCGAAACACTCCAAAAACTAACTTTATTTGAGAAAAACAGATAATTTTTCAAGTTTTAAATCAGACATAAATAGGGTAATGTAAGCTTGCTCACTCGCTCGAAATTAAACGAGAAAGCAAATATTTCAAGCCGGTTTGTCTCAACAATGGAAAAATTTTTTGAATTTTTTTATGTCATTGGAATCAAGACTGAAAAAGCTTTCACATAATATATCACTCAACCCAGTCCGACACTATTTATGGTAGCTGATTTTGCGTGAAAAACAAAACAAAAAAAATTAAGACACATCCGGATACAAAATCCCATACCCCCCCACCTCCCCCCTATTTTGAATGGTCAGAACCAAAAGAATCCGCAATTTAGATAACTTTTGGCGTGCGGTGTGCGTTTAGTGCCCAGAGTGTTCTCACAGTTCTCACAGTGCTAATTCAGTACTATATTAGACTCTTTATACAGTAGTCAACTTGACTGTGATCAGATATAAGTGTGATCAGATTAGATGTAGCAATACTGAATAATCGATAGTGCAGTGCTGATTTTTAGCAATCTCAGATATAATAAAATCCTGAGCAAAAACAGATTGGACAAAAATAGTCTTCTATCGATATTCTGTGTGCTCAAATTTTTTTTGCGCTGCCATTAAAAATGGGGAGAAACTTTGTATTCGAGTGTATTTCAGTTTTTTTCCAAGCAAAATTAGGTACCACAAATAATAATCTGACTAAGTTGTGTGATATATCATGATAAAGCCAATTGAGTCGTGATTCGAACATGAGTTGTGGCATTGAAAAATTTCTAAAATTTCTAAACACCGGTTTCAGTTTATGGTTTTTTGTCCAATTCGACCAAATAAATTGATGATAATTTAATGAATTGGTCATTTGGGCTAAAAACAATTGCTTTTTTCCAAAGGAAACTAATTTTGAAAGCTATATTTGGCACTATCTGCCAAGATAATTTTTTGAAATGGGATACAAATTTTGTGAAAAAAATAACTGTTGTTTAATGAGCCTAATTTACTAATTTTTTACGCGTGTGTACTTTTATCATCACACCACCCAAATCACACAAAACGACAATCATTTGAAGAACTTCATAACTTGAAGAACTTTTTTTATGTTTTTTTTAATGAATAATGTCGGATCATTCTGTGATACTTGCGCGCAGCAACCGGCTATCCTTGTTTCATTTGGCATTTCTGAAACTCATAAGCTAAAAAATAAACATCAAATGATATTATTTGCTTGGAGGAAGAAAACAAGATTTTATTTATTTTGTATCGAACTCGTGCGCATATGATTTTCAAAGAAGGCCGAAACCCTTCGATCCAATGCCGATATGTAGAATGGCGGTTAAAAAAAATTTCTGGTGAAAATATGCATGCATACTCTTAGTAAAGAAAAATCAATATAGATTGGAAATTTGAAAAAAAAATTTATATAATAGTTAATTTTTCCCAAAAGAAAACACTTTTAGCTGTTTTAGAAAAAACTAATTGAAAATTATATAAAATTCAGGTTGGAATATGCAATAGATCAATAAAAATACTGTGAAACTTTTTATTTATTATGGCCACCAATCTCGGTTTCTACAGACAACAGATCTTGAGAACTTTGTACGACTGCTATGACTCTACAGGCTTCGCAAACTGATACCTAACTGAAATCAGATGAGAGACACCAGAAAATTTAACGACCCGCTGATAGAAAAGTTAAATTACTTGAGCGAGTCAAAGAAAAAGACAAGAATGATAAAAACGTTCTCCAGGAAAAAAAATATGCAAAAAATGCAAAGAGGACTACCAGCATTTTATGGCAGGAAACAAGTCAATTTCAAGCTGAATCAAGGAATACGAGGAATCTAAAAAGTCGAAAACAAAACAAGAAACGCTTATTTTGAGTAGTTTTTTTTACTAAGGACCTTCGTTGATCTCACAAACACCAAAAACTAAAAAGCTGCCCTCTGGAGACTATAATTACACATTTTAACAAGATTTATCCCCCTCGACTTAAGTCTCCCCTCACGGTCAGGATTATTATAACCAAAGTTCTCTCTTCAAAAAGTGGATAACTCCCGTTATTAACAGTGACTGCAAACGTGAAAATTACATTTCAACACACTTCCAAGAAGTATGGTGCCAAAAAATGACAAACAGGTATATAATTTTTCGAAAAAAGCTACTGTGCATAAAAATGATAAAAGAATGCTCGCATCATTGCAGCGCTCTGACTTTGCCAACTGCACTTCATCGTGTCCCTTTTTTGCGTGGAAAAAAAGAGTTAGGACAGAAGTCTGCAAAAAATGAGCAAAAGAAACCAATCAGATGAACCTAAAATTACGTCAAAGTGAAGGGTGTTGTACTCTTAGTCAAAATTAGTAGTTGGTATATGATCGTTACATTATTATTATGTAAAAGCTCCTATACTTCGGCTGGTTCATATACGACCTACAATGATTAAGCAAGCAGTATTATAATATCCTAGG